CTGGTAGATTTTTCTTATGTCGCCATTTTGATTATAGGAAAAATTGTGAAAGATTCTCAGTTGGCATACGGACCAGCACAAATAGTAGTCGAGAAAATTTCCTAAATTTTTTTTTACATTTAGAGAATTTTTCATACATACCAGTTATTGTGTTATAATTGTGCATAAGAATTAATTAAAATGCCCGAGATCGGCAAGAAAATTAACGAGTTGCGTGTCTGCGATTTAAAAGAAGAGCTTGAAAAGCGCAAGCTGGAAACTGTGGGTCCAAAGGCAGTGCTAATCGAACGTCTTGAAAGGGTACGTACGCGGTAGACTTTCACAAAAGTCGTTAGTAGCACTACAACGGTGTGTAAAATTGTAGGCACTAAAAGAGGAGGGCGTCGACCCAAACACACATTTGATTGATGCGGCTGCTAAGCCAAAGCCCGTGCCGGTACCAATGGCAGAATCCACAACCGAGATTAAAATCAAGGAGGAACCAGTTGAGGAGGAGGAACCCCAGGAAGTAGGTAATGAATTCGATGGAAATGGGGATGAGGAAGACAGTGCTCATCACGCCGACGAGGACGGTCATGAAATAGACCAAGTTGGCGATGTGGACGATGTATGCGTTATATTAGATGACGACGAAGAAGAGGGAGCAGAGGCTATTGATCAATCGAAGAATGGCACTGTGGATGCCAAAGAAGAAGCAGCCGAAGAGGCCGAAGGTGAGCCTGCTGGCGACGAGGAGATGCAGGAGGAGAATACAGGCGACACTGTAAACATGGATAATGACGAGTCCATTAATTTGACAATTGGCGAAGAAGAACAGAAACTTTTACACGATGAGGTAATTTATATAAGAATATTATCATTGGCCGCCTTCTAAATGAATTTTATCGTTTCAGGCCCCTGACGATAAGTCTATTAAGTCGGGTAAGCACATCTACTTCGTCTGCCCGAATATTAAATGCATGTACACATATCATAACTATACTATATACACACTTTCATGAGCACTGCGTCTATACTAAAGTGGCTAAATTAGGTTTTAAGTGTGTCAATGCCGCTTTTCAGATCTTGTAGTGTCTGAACACATTTCTTGCAATTGTGGGCTGAACTACAAAAATAATTATCATTCGTCAAATTACATCATAAGTCAAATAGGGTAGATTTAATTTTAATAATATAGGGGACTATCTGGTGAGATTTATTGATCAAAGAATTTAACTGATGACGATTTTCAGTAAAACCGGCAAATAAAACCGATAAATTGGGTGCTGCTAAGGACGGAGATAAAAAGATTCACAAGGATGATGAGAGCGCTCGTTCAAAGAAGAAGGATGACAAATCCACTGATAAAAAGGATTCTAGGTTGGTTTATACAAACTGTGGCTTAGCTTAAATCATATCTTAAATTCATTACAATTCTAGTTACTAATATCGCTTTAAATTTCTTTTCACTTTACTTTCAATATATATTTTGGACCACATAGTGACCAAAAATCGGTTTCCAAATCGTCGAACCAAAAAGACGATAAAGGTAATTTATGTTAATTTTGCACCAGGAAGATCAGTGTGCTTGAAAGGTTATACTTATAAGTTTGTTAGGCCACGCATGAACTAAGTAAAAGCTTGCGATAAAAACACCATATGCGGCACACTTGTAAGACAGTGTGTAAGAGAGTGTGAATTTGGTTGGGAGTGGAATCGACGTAACTGACTGCACAGCAATTCAACTTGGAGGAATCCCATCTGATCTGTACACTGACGAACATCTGACCATG